CGTAGTCCAGGTTCGTCGTCCATTGTTCCATTCCTATGTTCCATTACCAGATTGCACTAAATTACTCAAACGCCTGCACAAACATCCAGGTCTTCACCTTTTTGCGGAATACCATTAGAGATGGTGCTAGTCTAATGTCCGTAGGAAGGGCGTTCCACAGCCGAGGAGCCACCACCGAGAAGGCCCTATCTCTCGTCCCCGCCAGCCGAGCTTGAGAAGCAGGCGGGATCGAGAGCAGGGTCTCCCCGGAAGATCTCAAAGTCCTGGTGGGTTCATAGGCAGAGATGCGGTCAGATAGGTAGCTTGGGCCGGAACCGTTTAGGGCTTTAAAGGCCAACGCCAGCACTTTGAATTCAGCCCGGTAGCAGATCGGTAGCCAGTGGAGTTGGCGCAACAGGGGGGTTGTATGCTCCCTGCGCTCCGCTCCTGTTAAAATCATGGCTGCCGAGCGTTGGACTAATTGGAGCTTCCGAGCTGTCTTCAAAGGCAACCCCACGTAGAGAGCGTTGCAGTAGTCTAAACGGGATGTAACCAGAGCGTGGACTACCGTGGCCAAGTCAGACTTCCCAAGGTACGGGCGCAGCTGGCGCACAAGCTTTAGCTGTGCAAATGCTCCCCTGGTCACCGCCGAAACCTGGGGTTCCAGGCTCAGCGATGAGTCCAGGGTCACACCCAAGCTGCGAACCTGCGTCTTCAGGGGGAGTGCGGCCCCATCCAACACAGGTTGTAACCCTATACCCTGTTCGGCCTTGTGACTGACCAGGAGTACCTCTGTCTTGTCTGGATTCAATTTCAATTTGTTCGCCCTCATCCAGACCGTCACAGCGGCCAAGCACCTGGTTCAGGACCTGGACAGCCTCCTTAGTAGCAGGTGGAAAGGAGTGACAGAGTTGGACATCATCCGCGTACAGATGACACCGTACCCCGAAACTCCGGATGATCTCCCCCAGCGGCTTCATGTAGATGTTAAACAACATGGGAGACAATATTGAGCCCTGAGGAACCCCACAAGACAATGGTTGTGGGGTTGAACAGGTGTCCCCCAACAACACCTTCTGAGATCGACCCTCCAGGAATGACCGGAGCCACTGCAAAACAGTACCTCCAAGACCCATCCCTGCGAGGCGTCCCAGAAGGATACCATGGTTGACGGTATCGAAGGCCGCTGAGAGGTCCAGCAGCACCAACAGGGACACACTCCCCCTGTCGAGCTCCCGGCGCAGATCATCCTTGGCATTTGTTGTTGTTGTTTATTTGTTCAGTTGCTTCAGACTCAAGACTCATCGTGTCCTCATGGACCAGCCCACGCCAGAGCTCCCTGCCAGCCATCACCACCTTCAGCTCCTTCAGAGTCAAGCCAGTCACTTGACATTAAGTCTAGCCATGTCTGACTCTGGGTGGTGGTGTTCATCTTCATTTCTAAGCCGAAGAGCCGGTGTTGTCCGTAGACACCTCCAAGGTCATGTGGCTGGCATGACTCATGGAGCACTCTTACCTTCCCACTGAAGCAGTACCTATTGATCTACTCACATTTGCATGTTTTTGAATTGCTAGACTAGCAGAAGCTGGGGCTAACAGCAGGAGCTCACCCCGCTCCCTGGATTCAAACCGCCAACCTTTTGGTCAGCAAGTTCAGCAGCTCAGAGGATTAACCCACTGCACCACTGGTGGCTCCTATGAAAGATAATGGGAGGCAAAGTCACAGTTTTGAAGAAAAGGACTAGTAATTTGTGTTAGAATCAACACAAAGCCAATGCAGGTCCTCAGGAAAAGGATATGAGTGTAAATAAACTTGCTAGTGCATAATCTTGGTACTATAGGGTGGTACGCACATATCAGAGCATCAAGCTGAGAGAGGTGCCAAAGTGCATATATACGAGTTTTAGCTGAAGAGACAAAAGAAAAAAAAAAAAGGGATGGAGAGGAGTAGGAAGGAGAGGGGGGAAGAGGAGAAAAGAAGGAGACGGAGGGGGGGGGGGAGGAAAGAGGGAAGGAAGGATGAAAAAGTGGAAGGAAAGGTGGAAGGGAAGGATGGACGTCAAAATTAATCCAATGACTGTTCAGCATACTGCATGGCAAGACAGTCAGTCACTATATAAGATGTATAAAGCTAAAGCTTGTGCGCCAGCTGCACCCGTACCTTGGGAAGTCTGACTTGGCCACGGTAGTCCACGCTCTGGTTACATCCCGTTTAGACTACTGCAACGCTCTCTACGTGGGGTTGCCTTTGAAGACAGCTCGGAAGCTCCAACTAGTCCAACGCTTGGCAGCCATGATTTTAACAGGAGCGGAGCGCAGGGAGCATACAACCCCCCTGTTGCGCCAACTCCACTGGCTACCGATCTGCTACCGGGCTGAATTCAAAGTGCTGGCGTTGGCCTTTAAAGCCCTAAACGGTTCCGGCCCAAGCTACCTATCTGACCGCATCTCTGCCTATGAACCCACCAGGACTTTGAGATCTTCCGGGGAGGCCCTGCTCTCGATCCCGCCTGCTTCTCAAGCTCGGCTGGCGGGGACGATAGATAGGGCCTTCTCGGTGGTGGCTCCTCGGCTGTGGAACGCCCTTCCTACGGACATTAGACTAGCACCATCTCTAATGGTATTCCGCAAAAAGGTGAAGACCTGGCTGTTTGAGCAGGCGTTCGAATAATTAGTGCAATGATTGGTTAATGAACACTGGAATGGAACAATGGATGACGAATCTGGAACATGTTTTTGATGACGAGACGACAGTGAATGGGTATTGTAGTAACTGTTTATTAATTGTGTAATGTGTTAGGTTGTTAACTGTTTTTATACTGTAGCACTGAATTTTTGCTGTTCGTATTTGTTGTGAACCGCTGTGAGTCGCCTTCGGGCTGAGAACAGCGGTATATAAGTAAGGCAAATAAATAAATAAATAAATAAATATAAAACAACAGCCACAACATTAAATACAAACAAACACAACTTCCCTGCTGTAATTGTTAACCATGTAAAATTATAAATTGTAAGACAAAGATCAAAATCTACAGTACTGGAATGTGTATTAGGGCCAAAAAGGCACAAAAACTATGCAAGCTTTTGCAACTGTAGGCCTTTTTCAGCAAGCAGACATTTTAAACGACACAGATAGGTTCCTCTGGCTACTTTGCCCAATGAAGAAACAATCAGTTTTAAAAATGTCTATAATAATAACTGTGTCATGTTGGTTGGCCTAAATGTTTTAGGACCATAACATGGATCCTTGTATTAGCCTTACAGTACCTGGATTGCTGCACCCTCTGCTGGTTTGCTGAATGATGTACTCTATATGAATACTTCCTTTCTTAATGTTAAGATGCAAAACAGTTCTCATTTCTTGTATTTCAGAAATGAAAGCTATTTTGCCAGGTTTTCAAAACATGGTACATACAGTAGACTCTCAGTTAATTGACACCTGTGGGAATTGGTAGATGCCAGATAAATGGAGCTTAGACATCCTATAGACATCTGCTTAGAGATCCTGGAAGTTAGTGAAACTTACATCCAGATGTGAGTAAAGCAGGGATGAGGAATGTGCAATTCTTCACATACTGCTGGACTGCAAGTTCTAGCAGTCCTCAAACCTCTGCTTAAAACCCCCCAGAGATGGAGACCCCATCATACTCCCAGGCAGCAGGTTTCACTGCCAAACAGCTCTTACCATCAGGAAATCCTTAAGTGGAATCTCTTTTCCTGCAACTTGAATCCATTGCTCTGAGTCCTAGTCTCCAAAGAAAACAAACTTGCCCCTCTTCCACCCTCAATGTGACCTCCTTTCAAATATTTAAACATGGCTATCATGTCTCCTCTCAGCCTTCTTTTCTCCAAGCTAAAAATACAAAGCTCTTTCGGCCATTTATTATAGGGCTTGGCTTCCAAATCTTTGATCATTTTTGTTGCCCTTAAAGGAAAAAAGTGCCTTGCCTATGAATAACAAGCTGGTGATTGACAGTTGGTCAATCACCAGCAGTGATACAATCTACTAACCAAAAGGTTGCCAGTACAAAACTCCGGGTTGTTGTGAGCACCCGACTGTCAGCCCAGCTCACTGTTTACCTAAGCAGTTCAAAAACAGCTTAGAGCTGTAAGTAGAGAAATTAAGTACCGCTAAAACACGGGGAGGTATTTTATGACACCATAAAAAGAAAAAGATCAAAAAATGCCCAGTGACCAAAAGGAAGGAGGAAGTCTTGATGGCTCTTCATTATAGAGGATGGAGTGACAGCACCCCCCGTGGCTTGGTTCAAGCACAAGCTCCAAGGTGCCAAAAAATCTGGACGTCGACACAACATACCTTCTTTCTGTCTGTCTGTTCTGTCTGTCCATTGAATGCTTGCTGTATATGTGTACTGTGATCCGCCCTGAGTCCCCTTGGGGAGATAGGGAAGAATATAAATAAAGTGTTGTTGCTATTATTATTATTATTATTATTCCAATTCCCACCTGCAACAGAATGTCTTCAGAGCTATGAGTCTGAGCAATCAAGCTAGCAAATTAAGTCTGTTTTTACCTTCCAATGATCAGTCATAAAAGAAAGCATGCAAGACATTCAGCAAAGTTGTTGTAGTTTTTTTGGGCTATATGGCCATGTTCTAGAAGCATTCTCTCCTGACGTTTCACCTGCATCTATGGCAAGCATCCTCAGAGGTTGTGAGGCCCGAAAAACCTACAACAATCCAGTGATTCTGGCCATGAAAGCCTTCGACAATACATTCAGCAAGGTACTCAAGTGCTAACATGAACAAATGTATTTCATCACTTGAAGGGGCACCTCTTCAATTTGACCCTAGGGATGTAATCTTATGCATATTTACTTAAATTCTTCACTATTTACCTCTGAGTAAGCATGTATTGGACTTCACTGTAACATGGAAAAAGGGGTTCAACTTAAAACAAAATGTATAGTTCTTGAAACAAAATGGATATTGGGAATTGTTCAGTCAGAAATCATACTTATCTTTTTTGATTTCATAAAGGAAACAGGTTTTCATACAGCATTACAGGCCAATCACAAAAGTGGCATCTTTATTCAACAAGATATAGTACAAAATGAATCTGTACACCTTTCTATTAACAGAATTTGTTTACACAGTTATATTACACTTTTCCAGCCTTTATACTGCATCATTTTAAATAGAAAATAAAATGTACAAAACTCCTTATATACTCTCAGCAACTTAGGCTAATTGTAGACAAAAAAACATCTTCTCACTAGCCCTCTCCAACTGTACATTTTCAGTTGCATTTTTGAAATCATACCAAGCCATTAAAAACCTAGGGAAATTATGTTTTATCATGCTCTGGGAGAATAGGGAGACTTTCCATCCTTGTAATCTAGATAAGATGGAGTTTAATCCTCTTTGAAACAGCAAACTGAGTGCAAGTTCTGTCTTCAATTTAGTCTGATCATATGCATATTTACTTGGCATTAAGTTCTGCTGTGTTCAAAGAGATGTACAACCAGGAAAGTGCACGAAGAACTGCAACGGTAGTTCCACTGAAATCAAGGGAACACATCAGTTCATGACATTGGTACCCTACTGTTGCATATACAAGAAAGAGTGCTTCTTTTATACTCAACACCATTTGCTTGAAATTTCATGCGAATTCTATTTTTTCACCAAACCCAGCATCACATGAAGTCAGGTATCAGTCAAGAACATCTTTCAATGAGGTTATCTAGCACTGAATAAAAACCCAACTTGATCTAACAGTGATGGCAACCATTAGCTGGAGTACTGTACGTTCCCATTTGGTTTGGTAAAACATGTGAGGAAAACCTTTCTCCTAATACATAAGCAAGCAATCTTGAAAGACAACCTCTCCTCTCCTACTTTATTCTCCGAAGGACAGTAGTCACAAGAGTGAAATATCTGCTCTCATACAACTGCCCTTTGAGTAAGCGATGTCTATGACAACCACCAAGAAAAGGAAGGCAGAACCTTGAAACCTCGAAATAGGTCTGTGGCAAAGCAACCAGTTATTTGAAATAACCAAACATAATTGCTTAGTTCCTAGTTTAGAGATTTTTAAGACTTGAGTAGACTCTCCACTCAAAAGACTACCACTTTGCAAAGTGTAAGTCTCGAGACAAATGTCTGTAAACATGGAGAGCACTACTTACATTCAGATACGCAATGTTTTATCAAAATGGTATATAATCATGTTATCACGTTTGCAACACCTTATGCACTTTTCAACAACTTTTACAGAGAAGTGGGTCAGATACTGAGAAGTTTTAGCAACTCTTCAGCTAATTCCTTTTTATGTTCTAATCCTTGGCCATAAATATCCACGATGGAGCAAAAGAGACAACTTTTCACTGCATAACCTCTGCTCTTAATAATTTGATTTATGTCAATTAACACATGTAGGTTAAGACCTATAAGGCTGTTTCTCCCTTTACTTCTTACATGGTGCCCTCCCTTGCAGAGTTAAATTAATGGATCATGAAAATCACATCCCATAAGAAAACTTCCAAGTCAAAGCCTAGTTTCCTAGCATAAACTGAGTGCAAACAATCTTTGTACTGACAAATACTAGGTCTAATTTAAAAGAAAACTTGAAAGGTTAGTTAAGCATAAAAGAGGGTGTTCGAAGATATCCTTAGAACTACTCAATATTCTTAAATCCCTGAGTTAGTTGAATGTTCTTCTCTGTATTTCATTAACTACATCACATCCATAATGGATATTCTTAAAATTGAATGGGCAATGAAAGAATATGAGAAAACACATTTATTGCTTATATTGCATTTTTTTCCAGTGGTAGGGGAGGAATCAGTTGATTTCTTTGGGTTGTTTATTCCCCAAAGTCTTTCAATGAAGTGTAGATGTGGCTGTGATTTGCTTCATCAGATGGAAATAGCAAATAAAACCCTGTTAACTATCAAAACAAAGTAAGAATGCAATACTGAGCTGCAGTAACAATTAAATGTAATGTTGTTGTTAAAAGACTTTGAAGACTATGTAGTTACTGTGATCTTGAGAAAGTAACCTTTTATTTCTATCACACAGAGGAATTAAGTATTTTTGGAATTCTGTCTTCAGTACTTAATACAAATGACTAATATTTGTACTGAGTTGAACATTTTCAGAGCTGCAAGTTTTACTACATTTGTTTCTAGGAATGTGAGTACTGAAAAAGTTTTTTAAAAAATGCTGCATATTGCTGTTCTGAACTGCAGACTATAAGGACAACTTCAATTTTGCCAGTTCCTTTTTGATCGAATTCTAAATTTGAATCTATCTCCCCTATAAGGTTGTCCATTTTCATAATACTGTTGTTATGCTACAGAATGTCCTCCTGCTGCTAGATCTTGCCAGTGATTCTATAATAAATTAAGAGCAAGGCAGTCTTGTTCAACACTATTTAGCCATTTGAGAGACACCCAGTGTCTCCCTTCTAAAGGATGATCTTGTTCATCCGTGTATGAATCAAAGGCTTATCTAACAAAAGCTCTTTGTGTGCAAAGGTAGGTTGTATGCTTCGTAAATGTTTTATATGCAATCCCGCTTCCAAAGAACAGTACTCAAAAGCCACAGAGTTTTCAAGAGGCCAGAAGCTAATATAATGATGCTCTCGAAACAGTCATGTGCACCTGCTACAGTGTTTTTATCTTAGTTCTCAGTCAGAAAACTATCCTTGTAGCTTTAATATGTGTAATTATTTTACTTCAAAAGGGTAGTCAAATAAAAACAGGGCTCCTACAATCTTGTTACAGCCTAGACTATGTTTTAGTTGAATAGCATGGCAAACTTTGGAATTATATATGTTTACTATAATGCAGGCCTTAGTTTCTGCTTTGTGACATTAAACTTCAGAAATTCCTCCAATCCTTCTAACAGACAACCCTAATCTGCAAGAAGCTTAAAAATCACATGTCCTCTAGCCAGATTATGACTGTCGCAGGGAATTCAAAAGGGTATGATTTAAATGGTAAAACTGGGATTAAGTAATACCTTTAGAGTAGCTTTGTATATGTTCACATAGTCCTGTCTGGGTTGAATGTGCCTGTAAAAGAGATTATTTTAGAGAGGTATGTAGATCACATTTTAAATAGCTGCACAATCCCCTGCCACAATAATAGCAATTTAATTAAGTCTGGCTCATTAAAACAACATCATGATCAACTGAAATGCAAACCAGCAACAAATTGGGAGGGAGGGGAAAAGTGGGAAAGAGAGAGAGAGCCATAAATGGGGCTTTCATAGATTCATTAACACTGGTTGTTTTTCCAGTCTATTGTTTGGTTAATCTTGCCATATTTGTGGAACAATTGAGAAAAGGAAGATTAAGTAAATCATCGTGTGTATCTGGGAGAACCTTGCAAGTTGCAAACAGGCTTAATCAAACATTTGAAATTTTGACACACATTGTCTGTTTTGCTGAATTTGATTTTCGCTTTGTAAGTGTAATTCATGTTTCTAAACCCTGCTACTAGGAGAAGACTATATCCAAATGGAGAGGACAGGTACAGACCAAAGAAGCATATTTGCCATTTTTACTGATTGTCTTTATCTCCATCTTATAACTGGTAGACCCAAGTTACAGCATCCAAAGGGTGGAAAATACCATGAAGGAATTAAAATGATTAAGAAATAATTTAGGTGAGTCAGAAAGTAAATCAAAGTTTATCACAATGCCAAACACACTTTGAAAAGAGTGTCATTGTTTAAAAAGTACTTAGTGGAAGAGCACAGGTCTGATTTTCTTGACTCAAGCAAGCTTCACAATATTTTCCTTTCTGTGCAGGCCAACTTTCACAGGACGTTCAAACTACCGAGGAATATTTCAAAAGAGCACTGAACAATGTGGGTACAGCAGGCATCACTTTTGTAACAGTACACTTTTTTTAAGCGGCTTTGTTATTCCATTGGCACTGAAATAACATTCAACTCCATCTTGAAGGAAGATACACATCCCTGAAAAAAAGGCATAGCTCTAAATTGCTTTCAGAACAAAAACTGTGTGTCTGTGTGTGTTTCTCTTGCAGACGTGGCAATTTGATCTGGTCATAAAATCAAGTGAGCTGTCCAGGTTGGAAATCAAGTCCACTTCACCAAGGCTCCTGGCTTGGCTACTGGGCTGGCTGATGTTCTGGGGCAGGCTCCTGGGGAGGCACCGCTGGCCTTGGCCCTGCCGGCCTGGGGATTGCCTGATGCTGCCTTTGCCTGTATGCTATAATGGTGCCCAAAAGCAACGCAATGATGGTCATGAGGTAGAGGTCCCACTCAGGGCCCAAGATCTGGTCCATGTCAAGTTGTAAGAACAGCTCTTTGATCTAAAAAACAAAAGGTATTTGTGAGGGAATCAGTTAAACCACAAGTGTCAAACTGAAGGCTCACAGGCCATGTCATTTTACGCCTTCTCGATGGTGACCCCCCCCCCCCCCGGAATTCTCTCCTCAGGGAGATTAGACTGGCACCCACTTTGTCCACCTTCTGTAAAGATCTAAAAACATGGATGTCCCACTGGGCTTTTGACTCGACAATTCCCCAGATAATTTTGGCCCCTAGCTATGATCCAAAACCAGTTGTTGTACATTTGCTGTTGTCCCCTAACTAGAGATATAGTGCTCTTTTTACATTGCCCCCCCCCCCATTCCCTAACCTTGTCATCTGGCTTCAGTACTTTATCCATCAGCCCTGTCCTTGCAAAGGATTTGCACCAGCCCGCCCGAGCTCAGAAACTGTTTACTACTTAGGCTATTGGTGAATAATGAATGTTTTATATTGTGTATGTGTAGTTGTTTTAAATGGTCTGAAATTGTTTTATGAGTTTTGTTGTGTTATATTTTAACCATGTTGAATTTGGGCTTGTTCCCATGTAAGCTGCCCAGAGTCCCTTTGGGGAGATGGAGGCAGGGTACAAAAATAAAGCTATTATTATTATTATTATTATTATTATTATTATTATTATTATTATTATTATTATTTGAAACACAAACAAGATGAGTCCACAGCAGACAAGATCACTCTGCTGACTGTTGTACTGGATCACTTATTATTATTATTATTATTATTATTATTATTATTATTATTATTGTAGTTTGTTTTTTGCACAAGCCCAAGCCCACCTTGCTCTAATCTGATCATGCCCACCGTATTCCTAGTTACTGCTTGTTGAGATGGGTTTGATACACTTTTACTATGTTTTTATACTCTGCTGTTTTTAACTGTTTTAATTAGATGTTTTATGTTATATCATATGTTAGTATATTTTTAAATGTGTTTTAGCTGGTAAATTTTGTTGTATGCTGAGCTTGGTCCCCATGTAAGCCGCTCTGAGTCTCTTTGGGGAGATGGTGGCGGGGTATAAAAATAAAGTTATTATTATTATTGCTCCTCTGTATTCATGGATTCTCCATCCATGGGATTCAATGACCCCTTGAAGACAACCAAACACTGAAGTGGCCCTCAATGATAATGAGTTCTACACCCCTGCATCGGAACTTTAAGAAGTCTTTTAGAAAAAGAAGAATACTTTCTTGGGTCATTACATCAGTATATCTGATAAGAAACCCACTTTGCAGCAGAGTAGTGCTACTTGGGAATTCTGTTCTAATATGATATCTTGCTCACTGCATTTTAATCTAGTACCTGTATGAGAATCTTAGAAAGGCCTTTTTGTTTGCTTTTCCTACAGAGTATTATACATGCCAAGTATTTCAATTTTTAATCAAGGTTATTGTTGTAAGTACAAATGGCTGCAGAAAGAATTTCTACTCAATCACTTCTAAACTATTATTTTCCTCTCTCCTAAAAAAGTACCCTTTGCACTATTACATGAAAGGAATGCTTATTTCCTGCACTTATTTAAGGGCAAGGAAATTTAAGTGATCACCCAGAAGGGTAGGTGGATGAAAAGCTTGAGTCCAAATTTCATCTTGACCTATCTGCTCATTTTTTAGTGTAATGATTCGCAGAGCAGAAGAAGGGCATGCAGGGCCATCTGAAGGGCAAAAAGTCAGTGCCCAAAGATTAACTGAAAATAAATTCCAATCAACTCAGAGCTTTTATCTGATGGGAATACCAGCAGTTGAAAGGAACCAACAAAAAGCACTGTACAGCCTGATATGTATTTCAAAAAAATTAAATGACCACGAAAAATACTTTTCAGATCAATGATTTGTACATCAGAAGATACACTATATGGGACTTTTCTGGTTGGGTGCTAGACTTAGAACGTGTGTGATAAACATCTTGGATCACACTGAACTGTCTCTGTCAAGATTTTGTAACACTAAATGTGCAGTCATTAACAACTCTAGGTCCCTTATCCTCACTAGATGAATAGGAGTGAAATACTAGAAGTACTAAGTGTGACAAAGAAATGTAAAATCCAATTGCAGTGGAAGCAGAATAGAAACTAAACATGGAACATTAACAAAATACCTTAAAAACCACTATCACCATAAATTATTCCGTCAACAAGTATTCTTACACTAACATTGTGTACAGAGGAAGAATTGTTTGAGGCTATAGACAATGCGGTTGCTGTTTGGTCAAAATATATTTAGCTAGTTGTGCTCCTTCTATTTTTATCAGTTTTATACTAATTTATGCAATGCTTTTGATATGAAATAAGTAAATAAAACCAACATTGTGTTACATAATATTAATATTTCAAACCATTCGCTCAAAAGAAGAAAAATGGCTACATCATTCAACATCATTCTTTCCTCTGCATTACTTACATTGGTGTCTTGTACATACTGGAAGGCATAAATAATTCCAAGTTTACAGAGTGCAAGGAAGACAGGAACTTGAGCATCTGGACTAGCATCAGCTGCCATGTCATAGAAACGTTTTGCAAGGTGAATATCCTGAAATATAAACACAAACATACTAAGATGTGTTTATAAAAACAACTCAAATCAGTCGTTGTCATTGTGCTGATATTGATTTGCAAATAGCAGTGAGGGTTATTTTTTTCCCTTTCCCCAAGCTACTTATTTCCTAAGAACTATTCAGGTGTGGTAGAAAGCATAAAGTCTCTACACCATTCAAAATGGATTCTTGTGCTACAGCAGATTGACAAATAATGACACTACATCCCAAGCTGTGCTTACCTGCTTGATACCCAGACCTTTCTCATGCATATACCCCAGGTTGAACATAGCTTGGGCACTGTGTTGTTGCTCTGTTGCCAGCCGGTAGTGAATAAATGCAGTTTCATAATCAACTTCAGTACCAAACCCATAGAAATGGTAATCACCAAGTTTCAGTCTAGCAACAGTATAACCTATCAAGCAAAAAACAAAACACAATTCTATGAATACCTATGGGTTATATAGGCAGCCCTACAAGCTTACAGGTATGACTTCTGCAGATCTGACTATTCAGGGATTGTTTTAAAATATTATCTTGGTCCTCCAATATGATTCTGTGGCTACCTTTCACTATAGGTTCACCATAAAGTCATGCTGGAGAACTTAGAGTTTCCAAGAGAAGTGTTAATCAGGCAAAAAACAGTCATTCTTTTACTTGTGAGTTTTTGCTTTCATGGGGGTCCTGTGACCTAAACCCCAGTGAATGTACAGGACTGAATGTACTGCAAACAGATGACATTAATCTCAGAACAAGATTTACTTAAACATCTGTCTGGATTTGAATCTTAATTATAATCCTAAAACTTGGGTGCCTACTGCTTTTATGCAAAAGCACTGGAAATAGCACCTTTTGAGAACAGTGGGTTAAACCCCTAGCTGCAGAAAAAATTGCTGACCAGAAGGTTAGCAGTTCAAAGCCGCGGTCGGGGTGAGTTCCCACTGTTAGCCCTAGCTCCTGCCAACCTAGCAGTTTGAAAACATGTAATGTGGGATCAATAGGTACCGCTTCAGCAGGAAGCTAAAAGGTGCCCATAGAGCCATGCTGACAAACACACGACCAGGAGGGTCTATGGACATCTGGCTCCTCAGCATGGAAAAATGGAACAAGAGCACCTCTCCATGGCCAGAGTTGAGCATTGCCTTAGTGTATTGTATGTCATTGTTCACTGTATAAAAGGCACTGAATGTTTGCCTATATATGTGTATACTGTAATCAGCCCTGAGTCCCCTTGGGGAGATAGAGCAGAATATAAATAAAGTGTATTACTATTATATTATTCAATGATGAACTTCAAAAATTGTGAGGTCTGTAACCTAAATTGATTCCACCAGTTACTGAACACTGCTGGTACATCTGATCAATAGGAGACGTAGGTCTGGTATCAATTTAGTTTTCTAGTATGCAGATTTGCCTGGATTCTGTAGTTAGTACCAGAACATAGGGAGAGGGCACAAGAAAAATTCATGTGGCACCAAGTAATAACATTTATGCAAGTTGGAACATATTTACTACCCTATATCTTGTGCTAATTAACAGTTATCACGATAGTCATCTTTCCCTTGTTTACCAGTATGACCAGGCATTTCCTACAAGATGAAACAAGGTAATTTCAATGGTGACTGACCTTGAGAGGCTGCTCTATTCCAATGAAGTAAGGCTCTAGGATAAGTCTCGTTTTCTTCAATTATGCTAGCTTCTTCTGCAAATATATTGGGGGGGGGGGGGATGGAAGAAATAAGATACAAGTCATCTTTGAATACACGAAACTTAAAAATCCCAAATGACTTACAGCAGTGGTTCTCAACCTGGGGTCCCCAGATGTTTTTGGCCTTCAACTCTCAGAAATCCTAACAGCTGGCAAACTGGCTGGGATTTCTGGGAGTTGTAGGCCAAAAACATCTGGGGACCCCAGATTGAGAACCACTGACTTACAGTATTCTGATGTTACTCTATTGAGCAACTCTGGGAACAGAGTAGTAAACGGATAATGGCTAACACATTTAAAAATCTCAGGTGCAAGCGGATCACATGGATTTATACTTTGCAATTCACAAGATTGCTTCTCCATCACTATGCTGCCCTCTGAGGTTATCAAATGTCTAACTCCCATAACTTGCTATGACATGACAGTAAATAAAATGAAAATAAATACATACTTTAGAGAAAACTCCAAAAATTGATTCAAATCATACATCCTACCAGTTGCTATAGAACAATGCAAAGTGGCCTTTCAACAGTACCTATTTGCTAACTCTAACAAATTTAATAAACACCTTGTATTCAGAAAATGCTTTGGCAAGTGAACTCCCTTTGAATAGAAAATATTTTAACTGGGTGTGTTTAATTTTTCATGCTTTTATTAAACTCATGTGCATCATTTTTACTGAAATGTATGAACATCTATTTATTCTGTTAACACGAATTAATGCAGTAATGTCTATGGAATGATAGAATAATGTGGGTCTTTTGCCCTGGCAATGAGGCACATAAAACACATGAATTTTAAGTTGTACTCTAGTTTGTTCCTCCACACCCAAACATGTTAGTTTACATGCATTCAGGTTTTATTCTTGTATTATGACTTTTTTCTGTAATGGTTGTCAGTTCGAAGGCTAACTTTACTCCAAAATAATACAAACAGTTCGTCAATAAGCTTGCTTCTTCAGGTTCAGGTTCCTAAGAATTAGGCTGCTTGGGTATTGAGAAATGGGCACAATTAACATACATGAAGCTATTACCATAAACAACATTCACCTAGTGCCTTACTTTGATCAAGAATGAAGGCAGCATTGCTTTGTGCAACTTCATAACCTTGTTCTGCCAAGAGAAGATACTGCACAACTGCAGAATTTGTATCACCATCTTTGTAGCTGTTGTAAGCATTCATAAGCCTCTCGGACCAACGGCCCCTTTCACAGACATTCTTAAATAGCTGTACGGGAAAAACAGAACAGAACACACCAAACATCACAGATATCCAGAACAGACATAACCTTCAAGCCGTTTTAGAAGTTAATACTGCCATGTTAAAAATAGTATTGGCTACATAACCATACAACACAAATGAGAAGAAAAGTTGGAAGTGACAAGCAATAGATAAAGCAATGATAAAATTGGTTAAATATTGATTTGCAGCAGGAAGCTTTAGTTTTAATACTTCTCCTTTATAAGAACATACTTTCTTGGTCTTGCTGCTCTTAGAAGTCTTCACTTCGTTTTACATCAAGAATAGAGTGGTAAGCAAATGGTAAATAATGCTGTAAGTTGCAGTCCAACAACATATGGTGGGTTCCTGCCTCTATATTAAAGTCCAGAAGCAAGTTTGTAATGTGGGCTTTTTTATACTAAACATCCCAGAAGATGAACATGAAGCCTCAAGCACCATATTAGGTATTTGACTAGTTCATACAAATAACTTATTTTAAGACGTGTAACAGCCTTTCATTGAATACACTGAATTTGTGCACAAAATGCTGCTTGGTGGCAGCTGCAATTATTTTTGATTATATGCAGAATTATTGACCCTTACCTCAACAGCAGTATGACAGGAACGCATCACTCCTGTGCCAGTGGCATGCATTTGTGCCAGATTATAGAAGGCGAGAATGTGGCCTCCTTGGGAAGCCATATTGAAGTATTTATAAGCTTGCTTGTAGTCTCTCTTGACTCCGATACCATCTACAAACAGAAAAGGGACAACAGAAAGTTACATCAGTTGGAATTATTAAAGTGGTATCCCTTGGAGTAATTGGATTCCACCACTGGTTTATCAACATTCACTCCTTAAAGTGCAGGAGCTCAATGATTTATTTGAAAAGATCACCCCCCCCCCAATCAATATATATGGTTAGGAAGGAGCCTAAGAACTATGAAATGTTCTGGGTTTTCAAGATGGCTACCAGTCATGTGCATTTGGGGCAAAAGGCATACCATTTTCAAGTCCGTTTCTGTCTGATCCCTCATTTCGTTTACCAGAAAGTTACCCGAAGTTGGAGGGGGGGGGGGGTTCTGTTTCATTCGGCAGAGATTCAGCCCATACAATGGGAAACTTTAAAGGCTCAATCTGCAGCCATTTTAAGGCCTATCTGCATGAAACCTATCTCAGTTGTAGATCCCATTTACAACTGCAGGGCTGCCAAGTTTCAAAACAGTTCACCAATTTACTGATTTTTTTTTATATAATTGTATTGTTGAAGGTCTCCATGGCTGGAACCACTGGGTTGTTGTAGGTTTTTCAGGCTATATGGCCATGTTCTAGAATCATTATTTCCTGACATTTCACCTGCATCTATGGCAGGCATTCTCAGAGGTTGTGAGGTTGTAATTATTTTAAGTTTTAAACATAACATTTTAAAAAATAAGACAAACTGCAAGAGAGGGATCTGGGAATTGTAGTCACCAGTTGTATCCATTCTCAGCCAATCATAGCATGGATTTTTATTGGCTGAGAGACACAGAAAAAAACTTCAACTCCCATCATGCTTTGAAAGGAACTTTCAATGGCCACCCTATGCTAGTGCCACTGGGAAAGCGAGATCTAAGGGCCCTCTCTGGAGGAGGAGGGAACTTTCCAAGAAAAAATGGAGGAGGCTTCTTCTGCTGGGGAGAGAAAAAGACGCCACACATCCCCCTGCCTCAGGTATTTTGTGGACTTAACTCTTTACGAAAATATTGTCTCTCTGAAATTGTTTTACTCGTCTTTTCGTCGCTCTCTTCCCCTTTCTATTTTCGAAAATTACACGAAAATGGCCATCTGAAAACTACAAATCTTTTCATTAACAATGATTCAGGCCCAACTCTAATGATTAATGCATTCAACTGAGTACTACTTTTACTTTCTTTTTTTTTTTTTTTTTTGCAGACTTCAAAACCAGATTTATTTGAATACAGGTCAATGAAGTCAGCCTTTCAAAAAGATGAACAAATGGTAAATAACCAAAGGCCATTACATTCAGACTTTCACGCTTAGAAAATAGCTATTTATGTACACAAATTTGCACAGAGATTTAGACGTACATTACAGGTCAAGATCCCAGTAAATTCCAAAACAAAAACCACAAAAAAAGGATGTTCATCAGCTATAGCTTCCCACCCCCTCGGCTGCCTCCCAGCCATGCCGTCCCACCGCATCCTCCTCCAGGAATGGAAATGCCGCCTGCCAATTACCCGCCTCCCTCAGTGCCCCCTGGTGGACAGCCACCAGTGCCCCCTCCAATACCGCCTCCTGGCATGCCCCCTGTTGGAGGACTTGGCCGAGCTACGTGGATGAGATAGCATTTGTACATAAGATAACCTTTAGGTTGGCGAATAGTTTAATGGTTAGGATTGTTGAGAGAAAAAAACATGAAGAGAATTGTTTGTGTAATGTAGATATGGATGTACGGAAATGGAGAAGGCAATGGCTTAGAATCTTCAGTTTAGTCAGCAGTACTACTTTTACTTTCATTTCTCCATGACACATTATAACTAAGCCCACATCTGTCCCAGTCATCAAAGCTGTCTTGTCCTAAATTTTATCAAGTGTCATAATGTGTTTTTCTTTATGAAAAATGCAAATCTTAGTGAGCTAAGAACAAGACATGTCAATCACCCTCAAAGATGATACAAACTAGATTTATATCTGTCAAAAATGTGAACCCCATACTTTGTCAGTCACCCTATTTATTTAGTTTGGACAATTGATAACAACAAAAGGTCCCAATTTATAGGCAATGAACATTGGATTGAGAAGGCTTACTGTAATACATGGAGCCCAGTTGAAGCTGTCCATCCACCCATCCTTGCTCTGCTGCCTTCTGGAAATATTTAAGTGCCAATTCATAATTCTGCAGGGAGACACAAGTATTTGTGATGAATACTAGAATTCTTTCTTAACTTGAAATACGCAGATATCTTTATAATAAACCTCTTCACTGAGTAGACAAGTCTTGGTACTTGGAAGGGGAAGGCCCCTTGGCAGTTCTGAAAACATCTCAGAATGGCAGCTGATGCAAGAGAAGGTTGGCATAATCAATTAGGAAGGCCTATGATCCATTCTATGATTAAGCATCCTTTTCTTCAGATATCAAATCTCTCTTTGGAGATTGCAAAGTCCTTTGAATGTTTTGGGTGGCAGAGAGTTCCACAATTCAGCTTCTGTCAATTTCAGGGACCATGACTCAGGCCCCATCTACACTGCCATATAATGCAGTTTGAAACTGAATTATATGGTCAGTGTGTACTCATATAATGCAGTTTAACAGCACCAAATGCACTGAGTCTACACTGAACATATAATGCAGTTTCAAAATGCATTATGTGGAACTGTACATGGGGCTTTAGAGACTGTTTTCCACCTCTTCCATCACTACAAACACTGTACCTCTTCAAGTATCTCATCTCTTGCTATTTTCATTCCTTCTTTTATATTTACTTTTTCCATAACTTCCTACTTATTCCCTTTGCCTCTACTTCCATTTTTTAAAAATGTATAATTATTTTAACCCTAACTTTCAAAGCCTCCTGTAGTTGATTTTTCAAGGTAGAAGTAGCCACTACTATGGCTAAAAGCTGAAGATGCTCTTTTTTTATTCCTTCCCTCATTGCATCTATACTTTTCTCACTCAGTGAATCATTCCATCTTCCTGCTTTTCTCTCCTTCTCTCCAATTGGTAGATCACAGCTTTATTTTCCAATTCCTGCTCTCAAAAATGTTTATTCACTGCCCTGCAGGGATCTGCATAAAGAGGTGCAATAGGCAAATAGTGTCACTATGGCCTATCAGTGTCTCCAGCTCGCAGGATGGGGAACACTATATTAGAAAATAAGAAAGACTATGCTAAATATAGACCCACAAGATCTGTTAGCTTGCTTGGGTTTCCTGTTTGTTACTGGATTGAACAGAAGCTCCTCTTTCTAGGCTTCGTATTACGTCAACCTCAGTCTTGCTGCTCTAATAGTTTAGAGTATCATTTTCTTTTCATTCCTGTTGCTTCAACCACTCAAAATTCTCTACCTGATTTGAACAAGTTTGTCTTTCTTCCCTTGTTGGAACTATCTTCCGGGATATTTGTAAAATCTTAAAAGTTGCTTTTTCTATGAAATCTTTGGCACTATGCTCATCTGTCATCTCTCTTCCACACAATTACAATTATAGCACGTATATGCCACTTCAACTAGCATATTTTGTGGGAGGCATTTTTAATTCTCTGCTAGAGAGTTGTTGTGCCTCTTCCAAACCACATATTCCAGGATTCCAAAGAGAGTACCAATGAAAGTGGTATCAAAATGCTACAATTCTGGAGAAAAAACCTTAACAGGTTTATCTTGTTTTACAGTATTTTATTTATTTTTCCCAGCACAGGATCCAATAATGCCTATTATTTCACAATTTACCTTTCCTCCCCCCATGTTGTTTTCTCTATAAAATTATAGCCTTTACCCCCCCCCCCCCAAAAAGCAAGTACTTGTCATTTTGTACCATGTAAGCACCATGCATACTGATACTATTAAAATGGCAATAGAAGTTTAACTTATGTTGCAAAAAGTGGCTTTATTGGAAGGTTAGTACTGTTACTCTATCAGGAAGACTTACCACTGGAACACCTTTTCCGTACAGGTAAGCCATTCCTAGACCACTCTGCCCTACTGGATTACCCTGGAAAACAAAGAAATATTAAGGGAGATGTAATTACAGGATGACCTCTGCATCTTCAGGGGATACATTTCTGGACTTGCATGGATACATGAAACCAGAGATCTTGTGAACTCTACTGAACTGAAGTACTTCTGGCCCCAAAATCTTATGGAGTCACGCTGGAAGGCGTAAAAAATACCTAGAGGTGATATGTTTTGTAACTCTTGGAAAAATGAAACAGCATCAGTGCCATGGATATTGGAGTCATGTTGTGTAAACTTGGATCTTTATCTTCACTAGACATTTTTTAGGTTTAGACAGACATCTAGGCTTTCTAAGGTGTCATTACACATTAAATAAATACATTTAAAATCAGGCATTACTTAGGCTGTATGTTAATATGAAGTTGTGACTTAGGTTAAAAACAAGTAGTACCATGCTGGAACAAAGTAAGAAACTGTTCCCTCAAGATACTACAAAGACAAGACAATATTGGCATTTCTCAGGTGGTCAATTGGCTGAGTTATATTGAATTTTCCTTATGCAACAGCACAAAGCTTATATTGTATTTTCAACTGAAATATACCATATCAGCTGCTTTCTTGAAGTACTGAAGAGCTGTCTCATTGTTCTGAGGAACAATATCACTTCCTTCTGAATACATCTGGAGAAACAAAATGCAACAACAGGTCAGATTGTGGAAAGACAAAAGCTTAAATAGAGTTGCCACTGTAAGTAATAAGGTATTGGAATTCTTCATGCACAACTAATTTCTTTTATTCTTTAGCACAAACACAGAAATGGCAGTCACCTAATGTAAAAATATGATTAAGGGTTTATGTAAAGATCTAATTTGCAGATAGATAAAACAAAAGGAAGATTTGCTCTGTAAAGTTTGGAGAGATGCCACTTTTAAAGGGCTTTTGCTCATTATATCTGTTACCACTGCTGGAGCCAGGATGGCGTAGTGGTTTTGGCATTGGGTTATTACTCTGGAGAATAGGGTTTGAATCTTGCCTCAGTCATGAAAACCCATTGGGTGACCCTGGAAAAGTCACAGTCTTAGCTTCAACCCCCCCCCCCCCCCTTGAAATAGGTTTGCCTTAGGAGTCCTGTAAGACGAAAATGCCTCAAAGACACATAACACATTTGTCAGAGAGTATGTGTGCTGTAGTGGTTTGGGTATCTGATCACCAAATGAAACTTATTGGATGATTTCAAGCACATCATACACTCTCAACCTCAGAGGAAGGCAGTAGCAAATGTCTAGCCAAATCTTGCTCAAAAAACCCTCTATGACAGGCTTACCATAAGCCAGAGACAAGAACATTAACATTGGTCAGAACTGAAAAGTTCACCAACATGTTTTTGCAGTTACTTTCTTCAAAACATCACGGGGTTACCAAGTGTTTAGACTTTCACTGTTCTTTTTCATAATCAAAGTGAAGTCACAGCTACTCTACATATAAATTTAAAAAGTCTTTTAAAACAGTTTAAGTGAACTTAGAGAGAACTTAGAAGGACCTTGATAGTAATAATATTATAACTTGCAAATGTGCTGCACCCAATATTAGCATATATTACCTTCCCCAAAAATGCCATTGCATGGGAGTTGCCAGCACCAGCTGCTTGACTGAAATATTCAAAAGCTCTCTAGAAGGGAGGGAAAATTATCAGTTAATTCAAGTGAGAACATCTGTCCATTAGCATGTAATGCTCTTAATGTACTGGAGTAAATATTTATATATTTTATAAACAAATTACGAATACGTATCAAAGACAAAGTGCTAATTATTTTATTTGTTTTTTAAATATCCTAGCTACTTGATATGCAGGGAAGATGTCACTCTCTCCATAGCATGTAGCCTGAGAGGCACTTCTTTAACCTTGTCACAGTAAAGAAAGTAAACTTAATAACTAAGCTTAACTAAGCATCTGAAGCTCAAGAAGCATTGAATGAAACAAGTTAAGGCTGCTGGGACAAGTGATTTCACCATTATTTAAACAGGCTCCTTATAAAATGGAGAAAGAGGACTTTTCATAAGTAAGTAGTTTAAATGTGAGGTAAATTCAAAAATTCTATGCCCCATATTTGGTCTGGAATGATACATTTTGTTCTATTACTTGAGCAACCCAATATTTATTAAAAACACTAGATTAAACTGCTATGTTTTTGTGAACTACACTGTGAAGATGTTGTGAAAGCTGAGTGACTAAGTGAAGCGACACTGGAATATTTTTTAACGCAAAGGACAGTGCATACATATTTTCACCCCCTTTCCATTTTGCTTCATCTATATATTCAATCTTTGTTTGACTACATTATTGTCAACTATTAGTTGGTAATTTTAATAATCAACCGTGTTGCTTATTCAGCCAGGTTAGCAGGTTTAACATGTGTTCAGGTAAAGAACATGGAAAGATGCCAGTTTTAGTTGATGACTTATCCCAAGAAAAGTTGGAACATTTGTTGTGTAGGAACTAAGAGCTTGTGTTTTTACCTTCCTTAACTTAAAGTTCCCATTAAAAACTGAAATACTTTTTGGTTCTCTCATTTTTTTGTGTGTATCAGGAGTGATTTGAGAAACTGCAAGTTGTTTCTGATGTGATAAAATTGGCTGTCTGCAAAGATGTTGCCCAGGGGATGCCCGGATGTTTTACCATCCTATGGGAGGCTTCTCTCATGTCCCTGCATGAGAAGCAGGAGCTGACAAATGGGAGCTCACCTTGCTCTCCGGATTCGAACTGCTGGCCTTTCGGTAAGCAGACCTGCCGGCACAAGGGTTTATCCCACTGAACCACTGGGGTCTCCCTCATGAACAAATCTTACTACAGTAACTGTACAGATATGGGTTAATAACTGCAAAGTATATTACAAATTCATGTCGAGCCTAGTTGCTTTTAAAACAGATACTAATATTTTATTTTCCTAAAACAACTGTATTATTTTATAACAAAAACAAAAAGGGAGACCTGATGATTTTGCTCTACTCCTCTTCCTCCATGCAAATGCAATTGCCCGAGTCCAACCTGGAATATTAATTCAAACAGTTTTCTATAAAGCCAAGCCACCCACAAGACACACAAGAGTAGAATAAACAATGTGCAAATCAATAATGTGCAAATCAAGAGGCTCAGGAAATATTTTAAGGGAAAAAAGCAATATTGCCTTAACAAATATAGCAAAGTGGATACTAGCAGCTACCAATAAATTGCTGACACGTGAAATAACAACAACAACAACTACTACTACTACTGTTCTGGGTACTGTTCAGAACTGACAGAACTACCTTTCATAGAGATGGTAAACCTAGGCCAAATCAAAAGGTGCTCCATTTCAGCAGCAGTTTGTCAGCAGGGATAAATACTTTCTATCTTCAAGAGCCCAAACCTCATTATTTTTCCATTTAACTCTTTCCCCATTTCCCCCTTCTGATTTTTCTCTTTTTTCCCCCGTTTCTCCTTAGTGCTCTTCTTGTTCTCTCTCACCTTCCAGCAGCTATATTAGGTTTCATGAGGAAAAAGACAAGGGGTGAATTGGAGTGCATGCACATATGTGCGCATGAAACAGAAAGGAAAAGGCTTTCATTTATTGTTAACATTTAAATGTCCTACAGAGGAGCATTGCTTATGTGAGTCCCACAGGTTGAGAACCACTTTGCTAGTGGAACTCCATCCTTTGAAAAGATAGAAAATGCTTCTTTGACTCTTTTTTATTGTTTTTGATGATGTCTTAAAAATGCCATACATTTGCACTGTACCACATGTACCAACAGAAGTAAGAGTAATGCAGTACAAATGAAACTAGGAGGCTTCAGGGGGCTGTATTTACTTTGGTCACAATTCGCCCCAAAGCCTCTTATAGAGATGAAATACTGTGAAAAAGAGGGGCCGCATGGACTTTACCCATCCTTTTGTATCTGTCACACTGTTATCATTCTCACCATTAGCAACATATTATTATTAAAGAGAATTACATTTTTTGTAAATATACTTTTTAATGAAATACAAGTTAAGCAGTTTAAGGAAGAAGCTTGAAAAAGGAAAGCTTGGGAGAGGAGAGGAACAAGATGGTAGGCAAAGTTCACTGATTAGCATGTTTAGAGAAAACATGCCCAACAGGTGCACTGGCTACATGTCCTAATAGTTTTTAGATGTTCATTTATATGCTATCACAAAACCATTTTCAAAGAGCAATTTACCATCCTGTTTTGGCAAATTAATCCATACCTGTGCTTGAACATCTCCCTTCTCAGCTAGAAACTGGTAATATTGTATCAAATCTTCCTCTAGCATCCCACTTGCCATTCCTGGATTTTCTACTTCATCTGGCAGGCGAATTCTCTGTACCACTGTGCCTCCTGTCAGAGAGATGTCACTTGCCACTAGTAAGAGAAAAAAAAAAGAAGGCAAGTACACTCAGCAGTTTGTCCACATATAATTGCCTGCAAGATATGACAAATGTTTACATGAACAATTTAGTGTAGATTTTGCATTATTCTGCACAGCTCATTACACATAACATGCTCCCAAGTATATAATTAAAAAGGAGTTTCGATTAATTCAGTTACTCTAGTGTATGAGAACTGAATATCACTGTTTAGCATTCTTGAATGTCTTCGAAAGCAATCCACACAGAACTGGCTTACTCCCTGATGTCAGCATAACCCACTTGTGTATGTGGATTGTTCATACAGTCATCCAGACTTCAGATGATAATGAAGATGATAATCATTATATTTGCATCCTATTTCCTTTCCTAAAGGAGAATACTTAAGAGCGCAATCCTATGGTTTCAAGCGAGTGTCTCAGGATCGTCAGGATATTTTGCCATCAAGAGTGGAGAAGTTTGCCTTTGAAGATGGAGACGTAACCTCAGACTTCCACTCACCAAGAGAAATTGCCACAGCTTTTTTTCATTAAATTGAAGTCAATGAAGTGGGAAATACATTAGGAATGTGCCAATACACATGGAAAGAGTGTGGATATGCAAGATCCACAATACTCCGCAATAGGCAGAAGATATATCAGTCTTGGAGCTGGAATAACACATTTTCCACCAACTATTGACAGAGGAGGGCAAAAACTGCCTTCATCTTCCCCTTCTATCAAGAGCTGTCAGTAGTTTAGATACTCTCCATTGTTTCAATTCTCTCTCAAAGTTCATAAAATTGCACCCCAAATTTCTCCACGTATATATTTAAACACAGTATTTGAAATGGCTCTCAAAAGAACATAGGACTACCAGAAAAGTTAACAGGACAGTCTCTTACGGGTCTCAATAAAGAATAGGGACTACTTAACTAACTGCATATCTGCTCATAAACATACACGGACACTGTGGTCATCAGAGAAGGCCCTGCTCTTGGTCCCACCTCCGGCTCAAGTGTGTTGGTGAGAATGAGAGAGAGGGCCTTCTCCATGGCCGCTCCCTCCCTATGGAACTCTCTCCCTATGGAAATAAGAACAGCTTCCTCACTTCTCTCCTTCAAGAAGAAATTAAAAACACACTTCTGTTCACTGGCCTTCAGAGAGGATTATTAGCTCCTATTAACTTCTTACTGCTTCTACTCTGCCTGATGAGGTTAATAAATAATAAAACTTTATTTATATACCACTCTATCTTCCTGAGGGGGACTTAGGGCGGTTTCCAAGTAACATCACCAAAACATACAAAGTAAACAGCATGACATAAAATTAACAAAACATAAACATAAAATTATCACAATAACACATATATATTAAAAATAATCCTGCCTGTTCAGAGCAATTAAAAGATCGGGCCGAGGCTAGTGCAAACTCAAAATATGAGGGGACCGGGAATTAAGTACAGTGCTATAACAGGCTATCAACAATAGCAGGTACGAGTCTGTGGCTGCTCATTTCCAGGGCCTATTAGAGGGATGACCGGGGTAATAGATAGGTAGTATAAGGCCATATTCAACAATGTTTGGGCATGAGCTAGAACTGGTCATTCTCAAAGGCTTGTTGAGATCATATTGCTTTAACACATTGCAAAGCCACGTTTTTATTTATTTTTATGTTGGTTTTTATCAATTGTGTTATTTATAGAAACCTATTGTCTAGTGTTTTAATGATTACTGTGATGGTGTGAATTTTAATGGTTTGCTTTGAATTGTGTGTTTACTGCTGTTTTATTGTAATTTTTTCTGCCTTTGTAAGCCGCCCGCCCTGAGTCCCTTTGGGGAGAGAGGATGGGTTAGAAATAAAGTTGTTGTTGTTGTTATTATTATTACAACAACAACAACAACAACAGTACTCTGAGTTAGCTGTAGTCTCTGAACACTTCTGAAATGTTGAATTATGTAGAGTGTATTGTGGTAACCCAAACAGGATATTAATGAATATGCCACTGCAGTCAGATCTGGCACCTAAAGGAACAGGTAGAATTCGCACCCCAGACTTAGTTATACAAGCTACAAAAACATTTAGGTGTTTGATAATTTCACTTTCTCAATGACTTCAGTAAATGTGAAAGTGGTGGGGGCGAGGAAGGAGATAGATCCACTTACTGCCAGTAAACGCTTCTAACAGATTATCCCTGAAGAAATGTGGCCCTCACCAGAAAAACATCCATCGTGCATTGATCAATAAGGTATTAATCTTCCCTTACAGCAGAGAGATGAAATACTATAAGAAAACTAATTCACATGTTAAACGAGTTCATGGAGCATGAAATAGATCAGGCTTATTTAAGAAGACTTTTGAAATATCTCCACAGCTCCACAACCACCCTTGGTTTAGGGTGGTTATACTGTAATATACAATACAGTCAAGTATCACATTTCATATAGCTGAGTTAAGTGATAAATGTTTTTTAAAAACCCACTAATATAACAAGCTGTTGCAATAGTGAGGAGAGCATTCATTTTCTGTTCAAATCAAACTCAAGATCAAATATTCATGTCTCCTTGTACCTTACATGAAAAAAGCAACTCAGAAGTGAGTATACTAAGTAAAGTCAAATTAAATATGGAAAAAACATACCATGGTTGGCAACCAGACGATAATGTGTGAGTGCGGATTCACAGCTCTGAAGAACTCCTATCCCAGCCCAGTATCGGTAGCCCTGGAAAGGAGCAAATCATATTATTCAAATTATTAAAGGATACAAATCTGGCACTATACAAAGATAAAGCTTGCTGTTATATAAACAAAAATATTAAAGAAAATGGTGATCCTGAGAAAATATGAAGGATATGATCATATTCAAGTGTCCTATATTCAGCTTTTTTTTCAGTTCAGGAGCTATAAAAATTCTACTTCAAACAAAACGGGATCCATACTTTGCCTTCCATTAATAGGAAAGCTCTTTTCATTCATATTTTTCATCCAAAGCAAGAGTATCACTTGAACTCAGGGATACGAGTCATACAGCCCTCTTGATGTTGGAATACAAGTCCCATCAACTATGTTCAGCGTAGCTAGTGGTGAGTAATGCTCATACTTGTAGTACAGTATTACCCAAAGTGTCATTTGACTCCCATCCTTGCTTTAATTGGAATCTCAATCTTATTGGAAGACTATAAATCACTGCTTTACAGGTTACAATGCCACATCCCCCAAACTAATCCTATGTAAGTAGGTGAGGAAATAAATTTACCAAAATCATATGGGCTATCAAATTTCCTCCAAGAGCTCCAAAAGTGTAATAAACCAATGCCTAGAAAAAGAGAGAAAAGCTGGTTAATTAAATTGATTTTGTTGGCATAATTTACAGAAAAACGTAAGGAGAAAAAGCTCAACTAGAATTATAAAGTACCTTAGCCTGACTGGAATCAACACCAAGGCCAGAGGCATAGAGAAAACCAAGGGCCTGAAATGAAAAGAAACAACAGAAATCATATGTGGCAATTTCAGTATTGCTTTAACAACGTTTATAACTGCTTTACAGGGTTACTCTTTCTGTATTCCCTTTTAATTACTAATAAATGCGAACCGAAAGTCTTGTTCATCCTTCCTACATAGGTAGTCTAGTCAATACAACAGAACATACTGAAATGATCAAAGCACTTCCCATGCTTCATAACACTATCTCAAAATCGAATGCAACATGATACAAGGTGACTCATAATGTTTCTGCATTTTAATCAATTCTGCATGGTAACTGAAAATTAAGCCTGCAGTGAGGACACAAGAGGGAATCCTAATAAAAATGTGACATTTTACACATATACTTGCTGATCTACAAAATACGTAGGTTTTTTGCCAGATTAAGTTTCATTCTGACTCTGAGAAGATATGATTGGCACCAAAATGTATCTTATGCTATTATATGAAGAAATTAAGGTGGGCTGACAGGTTTTAGTGTTCTGATGATTGAATATTCTGAAAATAAAATGTATAATTCCGACTGGTATTTTCACATTTCAGAGAAATACTAATTAAACTCCATTTCATTTCACATTCTGTGAGGATTTCCATGACCACAAGGCTCACATAAGAAGCTCTGATACTACCTGAAGGCTTTTCGCTAACTTGGCTAAAGGCACAAGTAGCACAATGTATCTCGACACCTAATGTATATTTTTTCCACAGGCAAACTATTGTAAAGGTAAAGGTTTCCCCTTGAAATTAAGTCTAGTTATGTCCGACTCTGGGGGGTGGTGCTTATCTCCATTTCTAAGCCAAAAAGCCAGCATTGTCTGCAAATGCCTCCAAGGTCATGTGGTCGGCATGACTACATGGAGCGCTGTTACCTTCCTGCCGGAGCAGTACCTATTGATCTACTCATATTTGCATGTTTTCAAAATGCTAGGTTGGCAGAAGCTGGGGCTAACAGCGGGAACTAACCCCGCTCCCTAGATTCGATCAACCAACCTTCCGGTCAGCAAGTTCAGCAGCTCAGCAGTTTAATCCGCTGCACCACCAGGGGTTCCACAAACTATTGTAGGTAACAATAAATTAGGAGTGAAGCCTTTTACCAGCTTGAATTGGAGGAACCTGTCAGCACCTTAGCACACCTTCAGTTATAGCAAAAGAAATATAGTCATACTTTTAAGAAATAACATGAAAGTATAGCTGATATTAAGGAGTAAACAAAGCAACACAGGGGAAGCCAAGCATAATTATACATTTCATACGTTATTAATAAAATAGGTCTTTAAAATATACGCACTGTCTGTCCTTTTGGAGAACCTTCTTCAGTAAGTTTCTCAAAGAGTTCTTTAGCCGACTGAATGTTTTGCTTCAGGTAGTCCCCAAACAACATCGCATAAGACACTTTTTCCATCGCCTTTGTATGATTCATATCAGCTGCCCTCAGAAGATATTGATAGGCTCTTTAAAAAAACACACACATGCACTCTCAATTATTATTTTGAGTAAACAGAGAAGACTATCTAGATCAGTGATACTCAACTTGTGGGTCCCCAGCCAGTTTACCAACTGTTTTCTGGGAGTTGAAGGCCAAAACATCTGGGGACCCACAGGTTGAGAACCACTGATCTATATGAAGTGAAAAGGGGTTCCTTAATGTTACATGCAGTGAAAAATTATAAAGTTTTAGCTCAGAGCTACTGGAAATGATGCTCAAGTGAGCAGTTCTAATATGCTATTAACATTTACCTGAAAAGAAGTGTGTCCTGCAGTAGTTTGACATTATTAAAATTATCTTTTTATCACTTGTATAGAAGGCATTTATGTGTTAGGGCAATGAAGCTGCTAGTTCCAGCCCTGGAGGAAGCAAAGAACTACAGACTGAGTATCCTTATCTGTAATTCCAAAATATGAAATACTCCAAAATTGTCTTCCTAAGTGGCTGAGATAGTAATACCTTAGTTTTCTGATGGTTCAATGTACACACCACTTTGTTGCATGCTCAAAATTATTAAAACATATTGCGTATAAAATTACCATCAGGCTATATGGATAAGGTGTATATGAAGCAAAAGCAAAATCAGTTTATGTTTAAAATTGGTTCTCATCTCCAAGATATCTCCTTATGTATGTATATGCATATACAAGTATTCCAAAGTCTCCAAAATGCTTCTGGTGCAAAGCATTTTGGATAAAGTATACTCAACCTGTTCCAGGGCTAACAGTTACAGACATTCTGGATGCTGAATTATTGCTGCATAAAATTATGACTAAAAACTTTGATCTCAAAAAAAAAAAAAAAAAAAAAGGAACTCACACTTTCTTTTGGGATTTTTTACTGCTTTCATTAAGCATTTTCATTCCACTTTGATAAACATCCTCTGCTTCTTGCATTTGTCTTCTCTTATTAGACTGTTCTTCAGCTAATAAAAGAAGAAGAGATACAAAATGAAGACTTCAAACATTAAGATATTGCTCATACTTTTTCAGGCCAAGTATTTTGATGACTATAAAACATTACACTACCATCTATTTCACACCGTTTGGCTATGCTTTAAGAAACTGTCTGCTTTCCTTGTTCTGCAATAGAGAAGCAAATGCTCAGAAATAAATGAAACCAATTACAAACTGGAAATAGTCAAAACCATAGTTTTTTTTATGTCAGGGGTGACTTGAGAAACTGCAAGTCACTTCTGGTGTGAGAGAATTGGCTGTCTGCAAGGATGACCGGATATTTAAACATCCTGTGGGAGGCTTCTCTCATTTCCCCGCATGAAGCTGGAGCTGACAGAAGGGAGCTCACTCTGCTCTTCAGATTTGAACCGCCAACCTTTTGATCAGCAGTCCCATTGTGCCACTGGGGACTCTGAACGATATAGAGCTTGTTGTTTTGTGGCTAAATGTGGTAAAACATATTTCGTGCATTTTAACATGTCTGAGTTAGGGAATGGGCACTTGATAGGTGAGAGATATGACTAGGAAAGAATATATAGCGCTAAGAACCATCAACATTACATCATTAGTATATACAAACTTTAAACAAAACTGGCAGCCACTCCACAGTGAGCCACAGCATTGTGGACTGTTTTAACAGATGGCTGGACCCCAAATACTTAAATGAAGTGTGTCTAATACTGAAAGGAGAGAAGACAAAGGCTCTAATTTTGCTCAATTGGAGATACCTAACTGCCTTCACCAAATGCAAGATGAAACTGGTCGTGGTGAATCAGACGTCTCCGGGAAGTCTGCAAGTAAAGTCTGAAGGTAGTTAGATGCTTTGGGTTTCATTCAAGAGGAAAAAGTAGGGTAATAATAATAATGCTAGCTTCTATACTTCATTTATTCTGAGAAATTGGCACCTCCATGTACACTATTATTGAATATGTAAGTTCTTCCAAGAATGTGATGTCCTATTAAAGCTAAGTCACAGCAAATCTAGTATCTATTTTTACTTCTACTAGAGTTTTAAAACTGTATATATTATGCTTTTACAACATGGTATGACACCTTGGATCTCATGCTAGGAGAAAGGAGGGATATACATTAAATATATGAATCAGATATCATTATCCTCAGTCTCTATTGTTACAAAAGCACAAATAAAATTTCCCCAAATACCATTTATCAGGAAAATCCTTGTAGTCTAAGCAGTAAGAGTGAGGATTCAGATCTACTTACTCTCACAGAATCCCCACTTTTGATCACTTTTGTAATCATAGGTTGTTGCACACCAAAGCCTGCTGTCTTCTCTCCCATCCGTAGTACACTCTGAGTACTCCTTCTCCAGGAAAAGGAAAGGGAAGTGGCATGGTTCACCATCTGCAGTTCCTCCAATAGCTGTCAGAACTAAAAACAAAACAAAACACATCACATTAAGCTTCCAGAAATTTAATTGAAGGACTTGAACATAAAAATATTGTTTCCCAACTTTTTCTATATTAAACAGAAGATGTGGCTGCTTTAAGCTTTTTCCTTCTCAAATGTATGTCTATAGAATATTTATTTCTCAACAAAATAGATATTAATGTCTAGAAACTGCTGAATGTGTAGTAATTAATTGGATCTATGTAGCAGGAGGCAGGCATTCTGCCAACAGCTAGTAATCATGTGCAGTGAAAGAAATACAGATGAACCAAGTTGCTTCACCATATCCAGTTGCTGTTGCATAACAATTTTGTCAGACAGAGTTGAATCAATACACTCACTCTCCCTTCCACATATCACAAATATTGTATACATATTTCCCATAATTAATATTCGTTTGTGAAAAGCAGTGGTATTCTCAAAAACTTCAAATTTCAACTAGGATAGTGTAAACAAAGTGGGCAAAATCTTTTAAAACAGCTACTATTTAAGGCTAGTGAATCATGAAATGTGATGTTGCAAAGAATCTAGTGAGGACATGACAGCCACGTTTAAATATTTGAATGGACAAATTCGTTTTCTGTTGCTCTGGAGACTGAGCAATATATTCAAACTGCAGAGGGGAAAAGTATCTAAACATTAGAAAGAAGTTCCAGATGGAAATAGATGTTTGCCAGTGGAATATGCTGCCTCAGCATGTGGTGGAGTCTCTTTCTTTGGACACTTCCAAGCAGAAGCTGAATGGTCATCTGCTGGAAGTGCTTTGATTGTTCTTTCCTACATGGAAAAAACATGGGGTTTGGGCTGGAGGCCTTTGGGGTCTCTTCCAACTCTGGAATTCTATGATTTATCAGGATTTTCTTTCCATAAATAAATGTATGCTTCTTTTCCTGAGGAAAACAGCTCTAAGTTTTGCTAGCCTTATTCTTATCATCTGTTTTCAGGTGCTGAAAGTTACATAAAGTCATCCATTACAGCTGACGTGGCATTAGAAAAAAAGTGAAAATCAGGTGTCCCTTTTTTTGTGATAACATAGTATGAAACAGGTTTTCTCTCTTTTTGGAGAAAATTCACACAGGTGAATGAAGGGAGCAGATTTATTTCTCATTTTAATAACCATAGTTTACGGAATTATATTGCCACTTTTCCCGAAACTGAGATCCTCCACATCTAGAACCTACAAATATAACCTATGATTTATGCACATATTTTAAGCTCAACAAGTAAAGAGATCACACATAAAAAAAATACCTGGTTTTTGCACTTCTAACTCTTCCAAACCCTTATTAAGTAAAGTTGACAGTTCCAGAGAATCTAACTCCTCTAAAAGCCTTTCCTTCTCTTCCTCTCGGGTTGTGAAACTTTCTCCATCTTCTGTATGAGTTTCTGGTTCCTCAGAGTCAATGAAGATTTGACCTGCTACCACTTGCGTTCCTGCTGGATGGTCTTTCACTTGTTCTTCAGAAGGCAATGCTGTCTGCAGAAAATAGGACATAAATAAATAAATAGGTCAAGTTTTTAATCACTGCTCAAATTCATGCAATCCCATCTATCTAAAAAAACATGAAGTTTTCATTTTAGCATGGAAATAAACAGTCAGAAATTACTCCCTTCAGGTTATGAAGAATATTTAGAAATTGTGGATGATTTCTCTCCAAAAACATGTCCAATTAGATTCCTTTCTTGGCTTACTTCTATCATCCACTACTTCAGTTGAGAAGATAAGGCTGTACTTCCCACTGCATCCATGCATTTTAACCATAAATATTCCATGCTGAAGAGGATGATATGAACTGCAGTCCAACATAACCTAGAGGGCTGTCCTTTGCTCACCCATTTTAGAGTGTTGTTATTAGCAATTGAAAATATCTTGGTATTTCTTGGATTGGAAAAGAAGATCATAAATATAAGAAGATGCTCACCTTTGATTCAAATGACTCTTCCTGAGCTCCTTCTTCATCTGCAAAAGTAAACAAATATGAATGAATGATATCCAGAGGCATTCACTGTCTCATCTGAATACTTATTAGTTTTAAGACTTATAATGTTAGTATCTGTTATTCTTATATACTCAAGCCTAGAATGGTCAACATATCCTTATTTGTTTTGTGGAGATATCTAAAAAATGTTGTTAACTGCCAGGATCTCTAGAATTGTACTTTAACCTTCTCATATAGCCGACAGCTTTACAGAAAAGACCAGAAGAGGAATTACTTTCTGCTTAGCCTTGACATGCATTATGTCTTCCTCTGGAGCTCCAGATTACAATATCAAAATTACTATATACTTCATCACACTAGAGAAGAAATCCACTTAAAATCCAGTTTCTGCCTCTTGCAGAATTCTGGGGTCTGTAGTTTAGGGGGGAGCCTTTAACAGCCGCACTAAACTAAAAACCCCAGAAATCTTTAGGAGGAAGAAACCGAATTATAAGTAGATTTTTTCTCTAATGTGATGAAGGAGTATAAGTGGTTCTTATGGGTGATACTTGGCTTATCGAGCGATTCATCTGTAAAGATGAATCCTTACTCCTTACATTTTACTGTCTCCTGAGAAGCTGCTTTAGACAACTGACGGACTTTCCTGACTGTAAGAGCTGTTCAACAGCGAAACTCATTGCTTTAAGAGTGTGGAGGAGGCTCTTTAGAGCCTTTTAAACAGAGGCTAGATGGACATCTGTCAGGGGAGTTTTGATTTTAATTTTCCTGCATGGCAGGGGGTTCGACTAGGTTGTCAACCTGTGGTTCCCCAGCTGTTTTAGCCTACAACTCCCAGAAATCCCAGCCAGTTTACCAGCTGTTAGAGGATTTCTGGGAATTGAAGTTCAAAAATCTGGGGACCCACAGGTTGAGAACCACTGGACTAGATGGTCTATGTGATCTCTTCCAACTCTATGATTCCATGCTGCAGAGCAAAATTATTGAATCTGTTCTTGCATTCCTCCAGTGAAGATTCTTACTGGATCTCATTTCTTCTGCGAATGGAAGAAGCCCTTCTATTTGCAGAAAGGACATTTCGGATCTAACCCAAAGTATCAAATGGCCATCCATCATTAGGATTAAGAGTTCAAATCTGTAATGCAGGTGGTTTTCCAGATTAGGTTCACTGAAGAATTCGGTTTACATGTCACAGAGGTCATGCAACACAGTTTTGTTCCTGTTTTTGTATTTTCACATTTTCCTCCTTTTTTCATTGCTTTGTCAATTTATTTTATTTAAACAAGTTGCACAAAAATACAAAGAGCTGTATGGCAATCCATCTGCTTCAAAACTGGAAGAATGTTTATAACCTGTGAGAAATCAACTATTTAAGGAGAAAAAGAAGAAACTGTGCAAGATAGATAATCCTGTCAAAGGAAGATACTGAAAGGGATTAAATGTAAAGAATTGTGTGTGGTGAAGCCAGAAGGGCACCTTAGCAGAGAAAGAAAGTTAAACAAAAAAAAAATCACATCATGTCAAAAGACTGTTCAAAGTTAGGCAAAAATGGCACATACAGAATTGCAAAGTCAGTGTCAACAAATGAATTTTCATAGAGCTTGCTTTCATAAAACTAACTTAGCTGTGAAAATTCTTAGTTTCACTCAGGAAAAGCAACAAGCCAAAACTTTGAAACACAAGACATTTCGTATCTGAAGAGAAGCAAAAATAGCTCCACAAAAAAATCCCTTATCATTCTTAGGTCCTGTTATACTGCCATAAAATCCAATTCAAAGCAGATAATCTGGACTTTGTATGGCAGTGTAGAAGGGGTGTTAGAATTTATGAATTAGGAGATGATGCAAACTAAAGCATCCAAATTTTTAACTGGCTGAGTTTTTAAAAACCTGATCAATATTTACAGTAACAATATGCTTACAGACATATTTTTCTTTCTGTTATGAAGTTGAAGTAATATTGTAAATAGTGATTTCAACAGCAATATTATTAAGAGGAGGTACAAAAATAAGGCAGGATGAGGTAATAAAATGATTAACAATGAAAGTATCTATAAACAAGTTAAAACTATGTTTTTGAACAAAAAAAACAAAATGCAGAAAAAGGTTTAGTGAGAGCCCTCTAAATCATGAGAAAGAATGAATATATTCTTGTTTTTATCTTGTGAGAAAAGCAAGCAGTGTTTCGTTCTTGTTGCATCATGTTAACATCTCTCTGAAGCAACAAGCTCTATAGTTGGGTGCAGACAAGCATGCACTGATTGTTAAGAAAATAGATGTACTTTCCAAGGCAAAGTATTGAAGGAAAGGGGTGCTTCTATTTGTTTAGTTGGCTTTCAGCATTTATACACTCTTCCTTTTAAACAGGCAGCCAATATGTAAAATCAGACCAGTGACAGAAACATTTTCTTCTTTTTACCATTCCTAACACAAAACTCCTAAATCTTAGACCAGGCTTTTTAGCTGCTGGTAAGCAGTATCTAGAATCCAAGAGATATAAATATCAATTTATGGCTACCTGAAAGCACTCTCTGTTCATCTCAATATGTAAAACAAAATAAGGAAACATGTTCATTATGATTCCCATGAGATAAAGCGTAAGGATCACAAACAACAGTAAGGATTGTTTATTTAAGATGAACATCCAAGGGTGCATCAACACTGTAGAATTAATGCAATCACTTTAATTTTCATGACTCAATGCTATGGTCATAGGAGCTGTAGTTTGATTTGAAATCAGCACTCTTTAGCAGAGATGTCTAAAGCCCTTGTAAAACTACAACTTCAAGATTCCACAGCATTAAGCCATGGCAGTTAAAGTGATGTCAAACTGCATTAATTCTACAGTGCACCCCAAGCTTGACTGTATTGTAATGATACACTTTCCAGGAGATTACCAATATGGTATTACTTCTATATTGTTTAAACCAAACCAAGTTGAATTCCTACTGTGATAAAGAAAGCTGACATCATAAACACATGATTTGAATGCTATAACTCTTGTTTTGGTATCAAGAAAGAAGCAGTCAGCAACCTTAAGTGTTGTACTGATATATCCTCCAGCTATATTACTTAAAATCCTGATTATATAAAAAAATAGCACAATTAATCAAGTTATCGCATTAAAACAGAGCCAACGGTTTGAATATAAGACTAAGGCACATGCCCTTCCTATTGCAGTTGGTCAAAATTAAGACTGCAGATACTGAAAGGCTTTTTACTGATATTGGTCCATACTAACCATCTAGAATTCATGTCTGCCTTACAGCCAATGATAGAAGTCTCCTCTAAGGAGCATGCTAGTTATCCAAACCACCCTGTGGGGGAATTCTACATTTCAGTCTAATGTCACTTCTTTATACAGTTTATTCACAATACATGAATCAAATAATGTAAAATTGATGACTTGGCCAGCTGAGGTTAAATGCTGCAACTTGTGAGTGGGTGTTTCTGATCTTGTGAACCGCAGATCCAGTTCCTGTGCTGACAGGACTGAGCAATTGGTTCATTATCTTATCCAAATATGTGATTAGTAATGTGTTAATCCTCACTAACCATCTGCATTTTTCCCATAAGTGTTTTTAGAATAATCAGTTTGTGAAGCAAAGTGAGAAATAAATCAAGGGTGCTAGTTGTTTTACCCATATATGTTTTATCTATGTTTATCAGGGTACTTCTGTTCTTGAATATGATCAAGATGCTGAAAGGCATTTTTCTCATCTCAAATCTTTGTAATTCTCAGAATTTTTCTTACACGCCAAAGTATCAGTTAGCAAATAGCAGTTGGTTTAGGCTTGGAAATAAAAAACATAAATAAAAACAAACATTACATTGTGTTCAAAATTTTGTTGTGCTCAACTGTCTCCAGAAAAATCACACTTTAATTTAAGAAATACTATAGTTATGTCCCTATCTTTGGAAAAGGAGCAGACTTGTTTTCTGCTGCCCTTGAAACTAGGACTAGGAGCAACGGATTCAAATTACAGAAAAGGAGATTCCACCTGAACATTAGAAAAAACTTCTTGACAGTATGAGCTGTTCAGCAGTGGAACTCTTTGCCTCAGAGTGTAGTGGAAGCTCCTTCCTTGGAAACCTTTAAACAGAAGCTGGATGGGCATCTGTCATGGATACTTTGATTGTGCTTTTCCTGAACAGAAGGGGGTTGATCTAGATGGCCCATGTGGTCTCTTCCAACGCTATTATTCTATTATTCTAATTCACCACTTGCATTGCTATGTTCATGCTTTTCAAAAGAAGTCTAACTGGCTTGTAAAATACTACATTTTATTTACAGCATTTATATACCACTTTTCTCACCCCTACGGGGACTCAAAGCAGTACATGAGTTACCACCATAGATTTTTTTTGAGAACATGGTCCTATTGCATTCAACAGGAGACTTAAGCATGTCCTTAAGCCTCTCTCATTAAAACTAGTCTAACTTACTGACAAAAATGAAAATAAACACAAACTTAAACTTGCCTTCTAGGGACCAAAATGATAAATATATTATACACTTATCACATAAAAGCAAAAGTAAAGCAACTATATTCACCTTTAAAAAAGCATAAAATTACTGGGCTAAGAAATACTGTAAACATCACAGTTATCTTGTTATATCTCAGAATGGCTACCATACCTGTAGGAAATAAGCCAGACTGACTTGAGCTATGCCATTGTTTTACTTGATAAACAAACTCTTCTATCATGAAAACATACACTCTGAATCAACTCCCTTTGATTCAGAGTGTATGTTTGTGGGTATTGGAATGGGAAGTATAGCACTATTTTCTCATTTCTTCTTTAACTAAAGCATAGAAAGAAGCTAATCACAATTCAAAATATGAATAAGAATGTGCAATTTCTCTGTAATCAGTTTTTCTTGGATCTACACCTGGGACTACTCAAAGCTGCTATGGTGAAAAATAAGACAAAAGACACATAAAGCAAACTTCCCTGTTTGTTAGATACTTTCAAGGTCAGAGATAAAACATACTACAAACTTTAGAAGAAAAGGTAGTCAT